TTCATCAGTAAGATGTATTTCGTTCTCAGTTCCTTGTGAAGTTCATGTCAAAAAATGTTGATTCAAAAATAATGCTTGTACTAAATACTGATCTCGTAACTAGGATTGCTGTTTGATTTAAAAGGCGAGCTTTTCTGCCCGTACTGCGCTGACCAATGGATAGTGACATGATGTGAAATGTCTCTTCGCTTTGTCGTTGACATAATCGCCTCACAAATGAGACATACGCAAGCTGTTTTCACTGTGGTAAAAAGGAAATCCACCTCCCATTCATCGTGAAAATGGTAGGTTTTTATTCGTTTTTCTGCTATTTTTCTTTGAAATCAATAAATATATTATTGGCATTGCTGCTCCACAAATCAATGGACACGAAAAAACGCGAGTTCGTGGAAGTTGACATCTGTGTGATGTCATAATTGGGAGAGTATTAAATGACCCGTCACATTACTGAGGTCGAATAAAAGTTAGGATGGTCGTTACCATGGACTTTTCCCCGGCGTTTGACCCCGAAAAATTCTTTCTATACTTTACCATTGCCAAAGTTCCGAGGCTCATTTTGAAAGTGGTTTTGCGAGTTGGCGCCTGTAAAATGGGATATGTGTTTCAAACCATCATTATGATTCATCACATACAACGATCTGTTGTTTAAAAGTACCGGTAAAGAATTTTAGCCCAGTTCATCACAGCTATTTCTACACTAATTTTTTATTACTGCAATCAAATTTAAACTCCTTAGAAGACAGAGTGATCATTGAATTATCTGATTTTTATTTAAATTCCCGAAACAACTGAAAACTAACGAATAGAGTTCAAAAACAAGGTAATGTTTAAGATTGGCCAATGTCACGAAGTAAACAAGGAAGTGTCGATGCTCGGGGAAAGGTCCATAATAATTAACATAGAGTCATTCCCAGTTCTCAAATAAGCCATAAGTGTGATTTATACAAGAATAACATGACAAAAATTAATTGATGTAGCTTCATTATAAGCGCCGGTATTGAGCTTATTTTGAAACAGACCTGCGGGTGACTCATGTGGTCTTCACGAGCGACTTGGGGCCCGCGGGCAACGGGTTGGTGACCCCTGATATAAAATGTATCCTGGATGCTTCGAGTAAGATTGCACATAAAATTTTTACGATTATTATGTCCCACTCCGCGTTTCAACTATTGGGTATTTGATTCCAGATTTATTTTAATTTTTTTTCGTAACATGCTGTGTTTTCACAATATGTTGTATTACATTTTGTATACATGTAATTAAAATGTTTGACGAATTCAAACTTTATGACAGACAATTCTATAACTTTTATATATTCAATATTGTTGTTCAATATTAAAGGCAAAAGCTGCAATAGATTAGAATAAACTAACAGTCCCTCTGATAGACAGGTTCTTAGATATTTTGAATCATAGCGATGGTTATGAATGTCTTAACCAGTTTGCAAGTCACAACTTGTGAAATTATTCTCAAAATAATATGTTATGGCAACATATAGGAAGAATTTATCTGTGGTGTAGGGTTTGGGAAAATACACTTCGAAAAACCATATGAGGGCATATTGTAGTATTCAAGTGAATTTTTGGAAATTTTTCTATTGAGGTTATAGCTCTATCCCAAATATATTATAGCCATGTGCTTGATCTTTTCTGTGAATGTATTTCACACACTATATTCAAACATAATTATCAAACTAAAGTTCTTCCAACTTTTTTGATATTTTCATTTCTGCTTGTTCGTCTGTTTTGTTTTTGTAGTTTTGTGGCGGGAAGTTTGATTTCAAATTAGCTGGGTATTGTGTTTATTTTATCACGCTTCCGAATTGTTGCAAAATTCCTCAGTGATATTTCTGTACCCTTTGTTTACTCTTAGTTAATGATTTATTGGTTTTTCTGAAAGTTGCCAGTTAGTACCAGGTATTGAAGTGCCAAGTAAACAGATGACGACAGACGGGTGATTTAAATGCTGTATTTCTTGAAAAACAATATATTTGATAGTCCTATAAAGCTGTACACAAAGGGTTATAATGAATGAACTCTTCTTCGAACGATTATGGTCAGTAGATAAATCAACAATCCATCAAGAGCCCATGTTTGATCAATCTAGTTCAAGAGAAGTGAATTTAATGCAACATGAAACAACAGTGAATTGACTGCTTTTACTCAAAGTGTGTCTTTACAACACTATTTTGCCCTATTTCTAAGGGATTCACTGATGACTCAACATTTTTGGCTTACTATCAATCCATATTTCAAACGAATTGAGTGAGGTTAAATGAAATTCCGCGCTCATAATGATTGGATAACTTCAACAGCAAAGTAAGCTTCTTGAAAATATAATTCTCTTCTTGACCTGGGCTTATTCAAAGCAAAAAGCTCATGTATGTGTCGTGTTGAATGAAAAAAAAAATAAGTTCCCTTTCACATTTTGAAGTTGCTATGCCCTTGATCAGTGCCAGGTGACATAGCCAAGGGGATTCGAGGTTGAACTGCGCCGCATTTTCAAAATTTCAAGATGACTAGCTCAACTATATCCTAATTAAGCCTAATATTAGTCTTTTGTTAAATAGAGGTTTTGTCTATTACTGCCAGTTGACAAGACTACACCTGTGAAAACTCTGAAACTACTTTTTATGTCATTATTGTCTAAATATCCTTGTGTTTTAGGTGAAGCTATGTCGAACATAGTATTTACGATAATCAACTTATATTTTTGTGATAGAAGAGAGAGTTTATTACCAGAAACGAAGACAAAACATTTGAAGCGACAGAATATGAAATAATTCAACAATAATTGGTTGGCCATTATTTGTGAGGGTCAGTATGCGAGACTGGTTAAGTCACTGCGGCTCTGTTCCATGCTATATATAAGTAATCATTCAGATATAGCATCAGCGATGAAAAATGGATAAGAATAAATGGAAATAAAATGTATATGTGTGATTCAGAAATTCAATATACCGGTAGGTTAATAATGAGGATTGTGATTTTGCCACGTCAAGTGAAGTTTTTGAGTTTGGGCAGATCTAGCAAGATAAATATCAAGAGCTTAGATTAGTTTTTACAAATATTAGATCTCCGCTCTAGGAGATTATTCTTGTTCTGTCTGTTTAGCGTCTAAGCGCATGGGCCAATCTTGTTGACACTGGTGCCACCCTAGTAATGTACATTTCACCAAATGTCTGAATTGTTTCGTTTGCATGGCAGCCTCGAAAAACACAACAATCGTTAAAAATTATCCATTTTCTCACATTTTTTTCGCCTTTTTCTTGTCAAAAAAGTCGAATATTATTATTCTGAGTAATCTAACAATTGCGGAACATTTGCGCAAGGATAGCAATAAGATGAACAGCGCTCAATATGAACTAGCAGTCTTGGTACAATTTTCTCCGGTACAATAGCGTCTCCCTATTACCAATTAGTAAACCTGAAAATAACGCGGGCCTCAAGTAATGGCAAAATCCATACTGGGCACCTACCAGCTTGATCAATAATAATTTTTAAATTTAGTTTTGTAATTAGATATTCATAGGACAAGCAACAGGCTCAAATAGATGCCAAAAAAATAATGAGAGGGGGAAGTTTTTATAGAGATCAGGCATAACAGGTCGTACGTAAATTAAAACTCTTATTGTAGAGGCGGTCAACTCAATAGCATATGGAAATTTATCAATACCCTGCAATTCCAATAAAATTTGAATTTTCTTTTGAACGATTGGTGTCTCATATAGCTCACAATATCTGACGGGTAGTATAAACTTGCACTTGTCACCTACGTTAAGCAGCTGAATCAAGACTATATACCATGACGAGTATTTGGAAAGTTTTTTCATACCTCCAGACATGTCAGCAGTAATTGGGTGCTCACTTTGGAATAGTCATATTTCACTTTTAAATGAGTCCGCTTATCCTCATGGAAAATTTAAAAAAATACTGACAAACATTTCATGAATACAGGGTGTCCCAAATAAATGAAAACAATTACCATTCATTATTATAAATGTTAACATTTTCTGTGAGCTCGTGTAATAACAATTGAGTAATGAAAGTTGGGAACCTCTCAAGGTTTATTTAGATGAATGCTCCAAATTACCACCATTCTGTCGAAGACATTCTTGAAACCTTCGGGCAAAGGTATCAATCACTCTGGCTCATTCTTCTCTGTTTATTGCACAAATGTTCTGCGTAATGGCCAATTTCAATTAGGCAATAGTTTTGGGAATATTCTGATGAACTCTATCTTTTACCAAGACATATAAGTTGAAATATGGAGGACTCGAGTCAGGCGAATGTGGTGGCCATTCAGTATCATGCCGCCTGCTAATCAACCAATCAGAGAATCGTTGCTCAAGCCATTCAATGTGATATTGGCTGTATGTGGAGGAGCTCCATCCTGTTGGAACCACTGCATATTTCGATATATTTTCTGCTGTGTTTCAAGGTCCACCTTGAACTTGTTAAGCACCATAATGTAACTCTTTGGTGACAATAAGTGTTCTTCAAACCAGTATTTCAATTCTGTAGGTATAGTAAAATTCCCGACAAAAAATAGTAGTCTCACGCATACTGTTCGATATCAATGGCTGATGGTTTGTAGGGCCTAGTTCGAAATATAATGCTTGAATGGGTGTTGTATAAACAACATAATAAAAATACCTAATATACTTGAAATCAGGGAAAACACAATAATATTAATTTAGAAACAATTTTAGGAAGATATAAGGAATTGTAACTGTTTACAAAAGTATAATATATTATATCCCATTCACCCATAACAAATTTACAGGTATCTACCGTATGTTAGGTTTCGACGCACTTAGTTAACAAATATTTTCTTCTCAGATTTGTAGCAGGTTTAGGTAAAGTTTGTATCTGGTAACTTTGAAGATATTGTCTAAAAAATGTATTAGTGAATATCACATCAAATGATATATTTTTATAAAGCTTTACCAGATGGTCATTACACTGGATGTTAAAACTCAATGACATTGTAAAGGAAACATGATGTCTTATCAAAAAGTAATAGCAAAAATTAATGAAAACACTCAGAAGAGCACTGAATTCTATGACTTTGCTGAACCTCTCAAAGTTTTTGAGAAAAAATTAAATGTGGACGTCACTCCCCTATTGGAAGAAATTGATTTTTATAAAGGTGGAAGAATAATTGAATACGATTACGTACCAGAGTCATCTGAGTTCCAAGAAGATTCGGAAGAAGAGAGAGAAAAAACACCTGAATACGATTACGAATCAGAGTCATCTGAGTTTCAAGATGATTCGGAAGAAGAGAGTGGAAGAACATCTAAATACGATTACGTACCAGAGTCATCTAGATTCCAAAAATATCTGGGGAGGGAAAGAGAAAGCGGGATCAGAAGAGAGACTCACCTTGTCGAACTGTTTAACAACTTCAAACAAGGTCATTTCTGTTTCGTGGGTCCCGCGGGATCGGGTAAATCCACACTCATGAAAGCTTCATCAAGAAATGCCATGCATGGAAAATATTTTCAAGGAACCATCAAGATGGTTCAATATATACAATGCAAACAATATATGAAAAACAGTAAAGTAACAGCAGGTGAACTAATTTTCAACAATCTCCCAAAGGAAGAAAGAGGTCTAGCAATTGATTATGCAAAAACCCACCCAGAAGAAGTTTTGTTTATGCTCGACTCCTTGGACACTCTTCAATATACAATTGATGGAGTTTATGAAATCATCAGCCCAGATGAGCCGGCATATCCTGAAGTAATAATATGGAATTTTCTCGCTGGAAAGTTATTTCCCGGCTGTCGCATTTTATCTTCCAGTCGTGAACATTCCATCAGAAATTATTGGGGAGAAGTTCGACCAGACAAGGTCATTGCACTTGCTGGATTAACAATGGAGTCCATCAAAGAAATTATTTCAGGATATGAAGGAAATGAAGAAGCAGAGAAAATATTGGAATTTCTCAAAATCAAAGCTCCATTACACTTGTTACTGTGCACCACACCTGTGATGCTGGTTTACACATTGATAGCTTTGAAATTCAAATCTGACTTCAAGCCAAACACTATGACTGGTATTATGACTGTGGTCATGCAAAGCATTTTACGATCACCTCACACTCACCAAGAGAATATTTTGGAAGCTTTGGACAAATTAAAAGAACTATCATACAATGGGACAGTAGAACGTCGAGTTCTATTCACAGAAGATGATTTTCATCGAGTCAATTTAAAACCGGAAGAAGCAACCGATCTAGCCATCTTAGCTCCTGGAGGAATTTATCGTAAACTTTTCCAAGGAATACACCTTCTTTACTTTCAACATCAAAGTATTCAAGAAATGCTCACATCTTTCTATATTCTTGGACTGGATTTAAAATCTTTTCACCAGTTCGTAGATAAACATCTCCATACCGGTCACTTTGTTCTCATCAGAAAAATGATGTGTGGACTTTTATTAAATCCAACAGTTTATGAAGAAGCCGGAGATTTACTTGGAGGTATGTTGATGTACAGTGTTTAACATAGTACAATTCCAGGCTTGGAGTCGTTTTCCTCTCTAGACTCAACCTTGGATATTTTACTGCATTGGATATGCACATTTATGACTTATAAGTTTAATATTTTATAAACTAAACCTAATTTATTGCTCATCATGTTACTTGAAATTGATAGGAGCAGATTTTTTTTATTTTTTAGGTTTGAAAACATGCCCGTTTGCATTTTTAATTAATTAGCCAATGCGATGACCCAGCGGTTGAAGTATTAGACTCGGGCAACCCTTTTGGCATCATAGGCTACACATCTCATGTAAAAATCCCATGGTTGTTTCTTCATTAATTTTAAACCAGACTGATTCCGGTTCTTTCAAAGGCAGCTAGTTAATACATATCATTAGATATTAAGTGGATGCTTGTATAACGAATAAAGCCATGAATAAGCATTGTATAAAAAATTGGGTGTTCCGGAAGTATTCGTACCAAGATGACGCACAACCCGAACAACCCTAACCTGGTACACATACTATGTTCAGGTTGTGCGCCATCTTGGTACGAATACTGGTACGAATTGTTACATTGATACTGTAAATCTTGTCCATAGTGTTCAGATGCTACTATGAAGTTCTGTGTAAAACAAACAAAATGTAGCCAAGTAGTATTCTCACAAATGACATCTTATTCTAGATTTAAACCAAAGATTCTAGATCAGGAGAATCATGAGTGCAATGACAAGCCTGATCAAACTCTAGTCCGAAACATATACCTGACACATTAATGCAACGAGGTGCGGCATGCTATTGCCCAATATTGTGTACATCAGTGGTTTCCAAACTTTTTAGCCTTGTTATCCCCTTCGAATATTTTGTAACATGCCCCTTTCACGATATATGCAGAATTTGAGTTAGTAGGTCCTTCGAAAGAAAGGATATTAAGTCCAATGCGTAACTGCAAAATAGGTATCTTGAATCAATACAAATACTATCAGTTATTAAATTACCCCGTTAACCCTAAAATTAATTTTTTTTATAACTGTCTTTAACTGCACTCAGTGCACAACTCGTACTTTCATGTTACTCATTTCATAGAGAGTTTGCGTTCTGTGGACTTCACATTTCCAACATTTGAATTGATATTAGAAATTGAAAACGGGAGCCCTTACAGTTGCGTAATTGACACGCAACAAAAAAAAATGAGGAACAACTTAGAGGAAATTTTGAACCGCCACTGTTTTTTGTCAAATAAAATTTAAACACACAAGTGGTAAAATTCTACACTTATTGCAATGCTTCTCAACCGAGGAAGAATTCTGCCCAAAAAATGCTTGATCACTCGAACTTTGCAAAAATGGGAATGCAGCTTGAACATTTCATCCAAAAGCGGCCAATTATTAGTGATTCAATAAATAATATAGTATTCATAGAAAGAAAATAGGTAAAGGGGGAAAATCATTAAAAAGATGTTGGGAATCACAGACTCATAGTCAAATTAAAATGTGTTCTGTCTACAGATAATATGTCATGGTGGTTAAGATTGTTCTGAAGTGGGAGACCTTAGTTTGGGATTAGTCAACCCAAAGACTTTAAAATTAGTTTCCATAGTTCCTCGTTTTTAATTTTTCCGCCAATAAACAAATTTATTTTTTCCACCATTGATTAGGATTTTATGGAAAAAGTCGCACCTCAGGTTGGGAATCAATTATGTACATTAATTAACTATGGCTGACTAGATTTGGCCTTCCACTTACCGTAATTATTTTATATGGAGCTTATTAAAGTCTTTTATTGCGCTTAACAAGGCCTTGTATAGGCAGCCACCAATATTAAACTATATATAGGGAGCTACTATTATTTGGAGAGTGTGGAATCTTTCTGGTCCGGCATTACTTGACCAATTTATTGCACTCTGGGGGGTATTGCAGTCTCAAGGGGATATGGACCTGAAACTTATGCGAAAATAATAATGTTATTATTGTGTCTGCTTTTGTCGAACGTTAACCAATTATTCAGAGACGAGCATCATCGGTAGATGCTCTGTGAATTTTTTTTTTATATTTCCACAGAAATCAAGAATCTTGAGGAAAAGCAAGATATTCTCAAGAAAAGTTTGCAATTGCAATTGCAACTCGGAAAAAGTTTGAACAAATCAGATATTTTGGAACTTTTCACCGCATTGAACGAAGCCAAGGATGGAATGAGTGACATTGTCAAATCATCTCTTAATGAAATTGACATTTCTGAACTTCCTCTCTCCATCAGTGATGTTCATGTCATTGGATCAGTAGCTTCCTACTGTACATCACTATCCATGTATTTCCATTATTGTGATTTCAAGTCAGACTCACTTCAAACTCTGGCATCTGAATTGAAAGGATCAAATGTGAAGGTGAGTAGCTTGTGTGATTCAGTACAAAATATGTTTCACTATTTTTAAACATAGTTTGGTGAAGACTTACCGACTATGAAATGTGTGCAAAACACCATATAGTCGAATTTTTTAGATTAAATTCTTTAAAGTGTGTTTTTGTTTAATGACATTAAATAAGGTCTTGTGCAATCAGCAAGTGATATTTAGTGAGTTACTACTATACAATAATATTTTACTATGTGCCATTATATTCCATATATATTGAATTATATATCAGAATCTTTTGGGTTTGAAAGTTCTCACAGAATTGTTACGCACAGAGTTATATGGTGGACCTGGGATTTGAATCCAAAATCTTTGACATGGCCTTAAAAACCCTCTAATTCCGAGGGGTATTTTTGGGGTAATTAGTATGATTTTGTATGGTCAGCTTCTAGTCTTATGTCATTGTCAACCGTTAGGCCCTAGAACATTGCTCATGGCTTTTTAAATGCGTACGCTAGAGTTCTATTTCGCGAGATGTCGCTAGAGCGAGGTTTCAAAATATTTTCTTGTCTATGCGACATAATGCTCAAAAATTTGTACAAAATACCCTTGAACTTGAGTGTTATTGTGTCTAGTAGTTAATTATAGTTAATTAATTTTAGTTCTATCGTTTTTTTTGTGTTATTTTCCACCAAAACAACACTACAACCAATATTTTAGCTAAAATCGTTACAGAGAAATTCACAAATGTATTTACGCAATTTACAAATTCAACAATGAACTTGACAATTTGATGACGTCACACCCTAAATAATACACAATTATTACTCCACAGAGGCTTTCTAATGCAACAAATATAATATTTGTAACATTCATTCATTATAACATTCTTTCAATGCTAACGATGTAAACAATCCAATGTGCAGCGTTACAATCAAATCATGATTAATTTTACATTATATTTCACAGGGTTTACTATGTTTACAATTTCACCATCCCCTCTACCGAGCATAGTTTAGTACAAAATTCGAAATTATCATTCAAAATATAACAAGGCCAAGGATGGAATGAATGACTGAAAATAATGGCCAACTCAATACTAAGTCATTATAACAAAGTTAGGGCTGTCAATTCTTATCTGGGTTATAGTTGGTTCTTGGCAGCTTTCCAAAGCTCTGACTCAACATTTTCAAATAGATGCTATTCATACTTTGGATAGTTTCTGACCATGCTCAAGCGTTTTATTGCCTTGGCTCACCACAGTCATTTACATATGTAGGTGGTCAATGTGTGCTCTAAGGAAATTATGAGTGCAAAGGTGCTTCGCAAGTCTAAAAGTGCGAAAGTGCCCTGGGCAATTTTAACAAGTTATGTGCCCTGGCCGAGTTTAACATGTTAGGTGCCCTAGATTTCGTGACTCTTTTAAATATACCGGTACTTGATACTCAAAAAGAGGTTGTGCCGATATTTCTCTCACCATCATATGTATTTAGCATGTATTTAGCCATATGCTCGTAACTAACTTAAAAAGTTAATATTGAAAACCAAGAATTAAAATGACATTTTTGAGAGAGTAAACAGTCAAAAAAGGAAATATAGCTTTGTCAGAAAAGCTCGTTCTGTGAATAGCATTGATCTGTAGCTTTAGAATGGTAGTAAGAGTAGCGCTTTATTATCGAAGATATACGCTCGATACATTTTGAAGATTGTTGTGAAAAAATGTTGTAAAAAATGAGGAAGACCATCAAACATAACTTACAATTTCTCTACAATGGTTTTAGCATAATAATAATTGTGGAATAATTTTGTATCTACTTTCGTCAGTCGTCTCCGGCAGTAGCGTATCTAGGGTGTAGCGGCAATGGCTTGTGCCATGGGTGTCATTTAGAACGGGGCGGAAAAACTTTTGATCGTAAAATTTCCAATAAGATATTTTCAAGGGGCTTTGCCATTAGCGTTATTTTACACAGATACGTCACTGGTCTCCGGAGATTATTTTGTGTGGCCTATTTTAAATGAGTTGACGGCAATCAAATATCGTTGTTCGATCTTCATTGTTTAAAAAATAAGCTAAATACAGTATCAGGTATTTGCCGAGAGGTAAACGGATGATATAGCACTATCTGGAATGGCGCAAACCCAGCATAAAATATATGCACCCAAATGTCGCATGCGGCAATTCCATATATGAAATATAAAATATTAACAAATGTAATTAGGAATAGGAATAAGTTTTTTTCCCGCCCCCCTCACCCTTTTGAAATTTTCGCAAGGATGAAAAATAATGCTAATAACGCATGAGATTGTATTTTGTTGAAATCAGCAGTGATCCGTCAGTGTGAAGTGTTATTTATGACTGGAATCTTTATTTCTGTGTTTATTTATCCCAAAATCACAAATTTGCTGTGATATATGTCTTGTGCCATGAGGAAGAACAATAATGCCTTTTCTTGTTTTCGCACAGGGCTGTGAGTTATTGTTACATCATAATCCTCAGCGACAAGATGCTAAATATAAATGTAGGCGTGAATCCTCAGCCCAAATTTTCTAGATTGCAAACCGGCAATATAAAACACTAAAAATAAAACGCTGAACATGACGATTTTTGTTTTAGGATGGCTGGCAACATATTAAAAATGCTTTTTTAGACACTGCAAATCGCAAAATTTTGTGTCACTGCGGCACTCATTTTTGTTTTCTAAAACTACTGATGGGGCCTGACGTATATAAGAGAATTGATGTATATCGATTGATTTTTAGAAATAAATATCGCAGACTAGAGGATTTTTCTTAAGTGAGGATTGTCATGGTATTTTTGAGGAGAAATGCTTTCATTTCTTCAACACAACCGCAGATTAAATTGATCAAAATTAAATTAATAAACCACCCCACTGCAAATTCCTGTATCGGTCATGAATTGAATATTTTATACAACAGAAAAATCATTATATAGCCTTTGGAAATGTCGGCTCTTTTTACAAGTGACGTCATTGGGAGGTTTTCTTCAAAAGTTTCGCGAGAATTTCGAGGCAATGAATATTCATTTTTAATGCACTAATGTATTTTTGATGTATCAAATTAAATTGTACTTTCTTGGATTTTATGACAGATCTTTTCTAACGGCGATAACGAATTCGCAAAATTGCAATAATGTATATCAAAACCAAATGCAATCGGGCAGCTTGTTGCCCCACATTATTATGTTTGCAGATTGCCATGGTATTTTAGATTAGTAACGCTTTTATTTTTTTGTAAGTCGAGGCAACTGCAAGTTAGCTTGAACACAATTGAATTAAAATAGAAAGGCATTTTGAATTGTCGTCGTCATGGATCAAATATTATGTGACAAAAAAGGTCATAATACAAAAAAAAATCGACTATTTCAATTAATCGCCGGTCACAACAGAAATTTCCGATTTTGAAACCCCCTTTTTAAAAATACTGGCTGCGCAAATGCCTGTAATGTATGGTTACTCGTTTTTCCTAAAATATCATCGAAAGAAAATAAAATGAACGATTTCTAACTTAACTAGAAATAAATTAGGTTTGAAAAACTGTTTTTGTGGAAAAGGATTAATCTTGGAAATATTGTATTAATTTAGTTTTTCGTTGTTGTATTTAATACTATTATTCTAGCTGTAGTCAGGGCTGGATTTACTCTTATGAGAGCCAGTCTTAAGCGATGCCATTCATGAGGCCAATTTCAAACTATTTTATGATGGCATAAAGGTTCCATAGAATCCACTGTGATGTCAAAATGAGCATTTCTATTCTATATGTAGTGTATTGTGTATAGAACAACAGTGGGCAAAATGGCGGCTCGCCATAGTTTTTATGCGACTCTTCTCGCTAGAATTTATTATTATCCAAATGTAGTGTAACAGTTTTTTTAATTAATTAAGCTGTAGAAGAAGTTTTCATCAATGATTAAAACAAATTATGTTTTAATATGAAAATCGTTGTGGCATGGGATTTTAAATTAGTCAAGAGACAAATCTTACGTCACAATGGTTAAATTTGTGTTGCTGCGTTGGCGGCATTACGGCTTGATTGTGGGTAGTGTCAAATACAGTGCGATATGTCCTCTAGTATGAAGCGAAAATACCCCGATGAGAACATGGTCGTTAAGTCACAATGGAAAGATGAGTACGCATTCATTAGTTTAGAAAATAAACCTTTTTGCTTAATCTCTCATAAGCTGCTAAGTCAGAATAAAGTTGTTGAACGGTGCCATGAAAAAAATCACAAAAACTTCGTATGAGATTACGCTCGTCAATCATCTTTTAGGAAAAACAGATCAAATGACTTTGAATTATTACTAAAACGATAGCAGAAATTTATGATATCATCTGGCAAGGAATCCGATGCAACAACTGAAGCTAGTTTTGTTATTTCGTGGAATTGCTCGTGCCAAACACCCATACTCTGATTGTATTTTGTGAAATCGAAAAGATTGCTGATGTTGCTGCAGTCAATAGCCCAAACACCTCTCGCGACACGAATATACGAATCCCATATTAGAACCAATGTAACAGTTACAATGCAAACGGATTTGATGAGCTCCAGTATTAATAATATCAGAAATTGTGCGGCTCTCACATATTCCTGGCTTGCTGCATGCGGCTCCTATACTAAAAAAATTTGCCAACCTGGTATATAACGTCTTAAATAAACTATTGACTTGTGTGAGATACGACATTTTGGTTGCAGGCAAGAAACATGCTCTAATCATCCAAATAGATGGGATAGCAGGTTCATTTTAAAATTATTTAAGAACTTAAGCTGTGATAAAACGGCATCGCATTAGAAAACCTGTTTTTAGTCGGGAGAAGGGAATGTGTGTGACGGGTAATGCTCCCCAATTAATGATTTAAAACATTCAAAAAAGTATCATTGCATTTTTTTAAATATTTCAGTCTACAATAAAAAACATCCAAGATAGTAAAAATATATTAATTTTAGATAAATTAGTTCAGTTACATATTGGTACTTTTTTCATATTCAATAAATAAAGGAATTATTTAGTGAAAAAT